TTAATTTTTCATAAAAGTAAATCAGAAGGGAATTTGTAGTAAATAAGCAGGCAAATTTGCCTGCAAACCTCTACAATCTAAGGAATAGTAGAAGGTATTACACTAAAATTAACTGAACTTTTTACAAAATTCATTATGAGATATCATAGAAATACTGGTTTAAATATAAAAGAAATCCATTATGTATTATAAACAAATAATGAAATTCAAGAGTCCCCTATTATAACAAATGATAATGTTTCCAAAATATCAAATTCAAAATATAATAAGTCAAAGAGACGTCCTTATAAAAGTTATAAATTAATAACTGAAGAGAATAATATTCAACATATATCTTCATCTTCTAAGACTTGTAGTTACTATTTAGAAAAAAGACACAATATTAGAGAATGCAAATAACTAAAAGTTGACTCAGTTAGTAAAGTATAAATACTTAACTGGCTGTATGTTAGTATCAAGGTTATTTAGATTTAGCAGGTGTAAAATATTTTTTATCGTAGATTTTAAGGTGGATATATGAATTAGCTACGTGTATTTACATGATACTACATGGCTTAGACTTTAGAGGTGATTTTCTTTAGCATATCATACAGGTCTAAAAATGATACTTTTGTAATAATTAGTGAATAAAACTAATAAAATTGTTTGACTTGCAATTGATTTTTATAATGATGATTGGAGTATTATTTTGTTTAATAATTTTAGATTAAATTATTAACATAATAATTACATGATATTATAAACTTGCAAAATGAAGAATTTATTTTTTATAAAATTCTTATAAAATCAAAAATTGAATTTCCAAAAAAGAAAATTTGTTTTTTACTGAAATTAAAAATAATTTCTAAAAAAGAAAATCGACTAACACCAGTGATGATCACTACTGATAATAAATAGTAAACTTCTATAAAGAATATTCTAGAAATATTGGAAAATTTTAAAGTAGATAATGAGTATACTATAACTCAAAAATAAGCAGCACTTGCAGTGTCATTACTTTTGTTAGTAACTGTAACTAAAAAATTTACAGTATCAGTCAGGTGACATGTCCGATGATCTGCATTTTAAAATTAATCAATTATAAGATCAACAACTTGCATTATCTTGCATTATCATAGTAAAAATGCCAAAATCATATAGATAAGCATAAAATATACTATTGTATTACAGTTAATCAAGTGGGTCTAATTATAGTTCAGAGATAACTACTTTTATTTCCGTTTTTACTTTTTCCATAACCGCTTTCTTTTACGAGAATCTCTTGAACTAACATTGGCAAAATTTGAACGAAATTGGTTAATGGAGAGTGCTAGCTTCTCTTTTAACTTTAACTTTGCGGAAAAAGATGTTCAATTATTAAATGAATCAAAATTCCGTAACTTTGAAGAAAATGAAGACTTCTCTAACAATGATTCTAACAATGATTCTGACGCAAGCTGGGAATCTTTTGATAAACAAGCATTTAATGAGTTACCTGAACTAGAACAATTTGTATTTAACTAAGAGAAATATATTAAAGCACAAACAGAGCTTGAACAAAAAATTATAGTTAGTGACAAAAATGATGATTATTATCAAGATGATATTGAGGAAACTTTATTTTCATCACCACCATCACCATTATCATCACCCTCTCCTCCATTAATTTCAACAGAAATTCCACCTTCGTCAATACCAACAGAAATTCCACCTCCATTAACACCAAAAAAAACTCCACCTCCAACATCTATTGAGGAATGAAGCAAACCAATTTGTGAAACAACATCAACAACTTTATTATCATCATGTGTCCTTGTTGATTTAGTAGATAGAAAATTACAAACTTGTGATAGAACGAAAAATATTAAAAATATTTGTCAATTAGTTGGCATTTGGCAAATTGATACAAATGCGGTAATAGAATTTGAAGCAGATCAATTAGCATTAGGAGTATGTATGCAACATTTTAACTATGATCAGAAGAATCATAGTTCTAAAGCAAAACAAATGTGAAAAATCAGCAAAGTGAAGTTAGATGACACCGATATTTATTTTGTTGTAAAAACTTTTATTTCTTTGGTCATGGAATCAGATGTAAGGAACATTCATAGAATGTTTTTGGAAAGAACATTCAAATACCTTGTATTAGACTCTTTACCTGTAATTCATTACATGAATATCAAGGAATTGCTAAACGAAACTTTGAAGAAGTTAGAATGATGTAATATATTTGCTGTGAATGTTATGAATCCAAAGGTGGGCATTTACATCGTCGACCTGGACCTGGAAAATGAATTGTTACATGTATAGAAAAAAATTGGCATATTAATGATTCGACAAAGAGTTTGGAATTGTTAGCCCAATGGCTTCAACATGTTGCACAAACCGAATCTGAGGATCAAAAAAAGAAAATTTTAGCATGCATGTTAGTTCCAGCAATCAATTTTTTATATATTCCTTCAGAAACATTCCCTTTAAAATATACATATCATAATCCAAGAGATAATTATAATAATAATAACATCTCTGAATCCATAATTCTGAATTCTACAAGGAAAATTTCCTTTTTATCCTAAATACCTAGTTTTTTTTTTTGGTGATGTTAATACATTTAAATCAGATAAAATAATTTACTAAATTGGAATCAGAATTAGAGTGGGATGATGTTAAATGGAAGGAAGTTGGTATCAAATTAGCGCAAAAAGTTTGGAATTCTCGAAAGGCATTATCAGCAAGAAAATCAGAAATACAACTGCCAAGCTCCCTTTCAAATTATTACGCAACTTTTCTGACATTTTTAACTAGCTTTTTTGGTAGACTATTAAGTAAAATTTTTAAAAGAAAATTAGTTATCTCAAATATTAAACGAAAACAACGCCAAAAATCTACAAGTGTTCTTAATTATGAACATATAACTAAAATTACCATCTTTTTTGTTTCGATTATCATCAGTATAGCATTCCCTTCTTTTGGTGTTTGGTTTAATCAAGTAATGGCTAGTTTATCTCGGAAACTTAAACTATTTTCATCATTCCGAAAACTTTTATCGAATCTTAATATTACTAGTCATACTGAACGTTATGAAAAACGAGTAGAAAAATAACGGATGATTGAAGTTGACCTGACAAAAAGATTGTTGAAAGGTCCTAATATATGGAATCTAGTGGTTATTGATAATATTGATTTCAAAGAAAAGACTTTTCGATATGGTAATATTTTCGATACCACCCGTAATAGTTCTCATACAACTCTTAGAATGGCATTTCAAATAAAATGCCAATTTCTTTGGATAAAAATCCTAGTGATGAAAAAACTATTACTTCTCCTACTGGACTTTTGGTATGAATAATGTAACAAAGGATATGTTAGACATGTTTGATGAAATTGTTGACAATCTTCTCGATTTTCATACAAATGAAAATGGACAATTCCTTTATAATAAGAATTTCGATATGTCAACTATTCATAATAGAATTTTGGAAAAAGAAGAACACAGATGTTCTGGAGATTCACTGAATATAGTAATATTAGATACAGGGGGGATTCCAAACTCAGATAAAGGCATATTTCAATCTACAAAAATATATGTAGATGATTTCAATTTACATACACAAGAATATTTAGATGTAGTGGCGGATGAGGCAATTTTTAGAAGACTTATTAAGTAACGTAATCAATGGCTATATTTATATCCAATTCTTGGACAATGGCATACTTTGAAGGACATGTGTAGCGTATTGATTGTCTTATTTTCAAGTTATGTAATTTTGATCTGGCTAAAGAATTGGGTGTAAAATTTTTAGATAAACTGGACAAAGTAGTTGATTATCGTTCAACAGTACGCGTTTTAGAATTAATCTGGAGTGCTGTTATTATTGCTATCTGAATTTATCTAAAAGCAATAATTTACATAAATGTAATGTGATGAATTCAGATAGTGGTGCAAATATTGTTTTAAAAATATGGTATCTTTATTATCAATGGGCATCAATTTTTAAAGTTCATCGTGTTGAAATTCAGGTTGGTAATTATCAATTACAAAAGAATGCTTTGGCTTGCTTTTCAGGATTATTTGCATCGGCTGGCAAATCTAATTATTCTACTTCAGTAGCTCTTTTTCTTAGTTTACTTGCTCAATATCCAAAATTAGAAGTAAAGCTTTAATTTGCTGCGTCAGTTAAAATAGATAATGATGAAAAATGAAAAGGACATTATTTTGCTTATGATGAAACTCTTGAAACATTTGGAGTTAAATTTATTAAACAAAATATAGTAAAAAATGTAATTGATACTGATAATTTAAAATTACAAATTAAAGCTGCACAAAATGAACGAGATCGAATAAGTATTTTATTATCAGAATATTTAGATGATGCTTGTAAATCAATTGGAGAATGAGCTATTAATCAGCGTAAAGATGCAATGTGGAATTTAGTTGATAAACTTTTAATAGCATTTAACAATTCTGATAACTATAATCATTATCAAAATCAATTATGGAGTGATACTATTACAAAACAATTTACTTTTGATGGTGTTACATGTCTTAAAAACTGTTTTCCAGAAGGAGTTTTACGAATTAAATCTATATTTTTACAAGAAGTAATATCAACACAGAAGAGTGATAAGGTTGGAAGAAGAAAGTTAGGTGTTGTACAATGGAAGCTGAATAATCAAAATTCTAAAGATAAAAATACAAAAAAAAGAAAAAATATAGCATTAGAATCAACCATTGATTTAACTACACAAAATGATTCTATAAATGAATTGGAACCATTACGAAAAAAAAGAAAATAAGAGCGTTGAGTTACAAAACCATTTGAAAAACAATTATTAAAACCATTAGTTGAATCAGAAACACTTACTAATGAACAAATAATTCTAGTTATCAAAGATTTGGGTGAAGAATGGAATAAATTACATGTTAGTCAATATGTTACACATCATAAAAAAAAACTGTAATTAAAAAATAAACTTAATAAACTTAACTTTTTTGATTACAAGTTTTATTACTAACCATTGTGAATTCGAAGTAAATAAAAAAAAGATAATTATGTGATAATATAAACAGAATCGTGATTTTATTGGGTGATGATTATGTAGCAGATAGAGAAACACCTATGATTAGAAAATTTTCATATTGCTACACTCTGAACAAAAATATTAAATTGCTTTTAGTCTTCGAAATAATTTATAAAATTCATAACATATATAATAAAAAAATAAATTATTTATTTTTTATAGAATAATATATTAAGTTAGTTTAATAAAATTATTAGAATAGAAAAGTAATTAAATTTTTATATAACTGAGTACTTTTTTTTGAAAATAGTTGTAAAGAACGCAAGAATCTTAACTTTTAGTATTAAAAAAAAGCAAGTTTTAATAATTAATAAAATTATTAAATATATATTAAAGAGTAAATTAATAAGTTTAATTAGCTAAAAGAATGGTTAATGTTTAAGTTTTATTAAGTATTCAAAGCTAAAGAACGTATATATAACTAGTTTACTTTATGACGTAGTTAATAACTTTAAGTAATACAAGAATTTTTAATTATGATCAACATAGTCTTATGGACATGTCACCTGACTGTTATATTGATCTCATTATTAGTAAACTATGAGCAAAAAACAAACAGCATGTACCTGTAAATTTCTTAAATCAGATGTCACCCGTTTGTCACCTGAATTTATTGAAGAAATCAGAAATGCTCAGAATAATATTCCAGTTGCTCAACGTATTATGTGTAAAAACATCATATAGGATCAATAACATATCAAAAAATTATTGATAATAAGAGGCCTCCTGAACCAACAGAAGAATAGCGTAAAATTATAGATTCTGTTAACATCTCTAGTCTGACTTTAGAAAATAACCAAAAATCTTCACAGTCAGAAAATATAGAGTAGGACTCCTTAGAACCGCAATGCAATGCTGATACTTCTTTCTCTTCTACTAATATACTAGAAAATGTGACTATTTATGCAGAAGACACTAGTAAAAATGGTAAAAATTCTATTAACCTGAATATAGTAACTAATAGGCAAAAAGATAGAATTAGTCAGAAAAAAAGATTAGTATAAAACTAAAAAGCGAATCTTCTTTAGAAAAAAATGATACATCTAAATGGGAATCAGATCTTAGAAAATTATTAGATATTACAGGAAAAATTGTTATGTATCTATCCTTATTTCTGTAAGCTGAAAATATTTTTTCGCTAGAACTTTACCTGCATCTAATGCTAAGTCAAGCCATTTTTTAGTTTTCAAAAGATGCTTTTCAAGCTCTTTACAGTTTTTTTAAGTTCTCCTTACTATTCAGGCTAGAAGAATTAACAGAAACCTAAGAGCTGAGAGGCACTTCGCATGATGATTTCTAATCCTCTCTTAACAGATCCTTGACTACTGAAGCCTTACTAAAAGTTAGGATAATATATGCCTTTCCATGTAACTTCATTCAGAATTACGTATATTTAGTTTCTTAAATTGATTGGTTAATTGATTTACTACATCATGAGTTTCATCAAGTCCTTCTTTAATCTTATCAAATCTAACAAAGTTATTGCTTCTCTGCAGGTAAGATTTTTGAAAAAGTTTTACAGGGTAATCAAAATCCAAATCTTCTTTATTAAGTATATCTACTTTTTTTAAGTATTTGGCTACATAATAATTCTTGAGATCTTTCTCTGTTTTTAATGAAGATGGTAGACCTCTAGGTATTTGCTAAGCCATCTATGCTTGAAATTCATTTTTTTCCTT